GCCGAGGTGAGGATGGAGTGTCAGAAAGGGGAAGGTATTATCCTATGAGGGAGGGCGATGTGTGACCCATCCAGGACCTGCCACTTTCATTGACAACTTTGCTTAGTGACAGCCTGAACCATTTTTCTTCCCAGAGAATTTTTTAAAAGTGAAATGAGAAGAGGTGCCTTCAGAACACACCTTTTCAACCTGAAGCTGCACTGGAGTGTGTTTAGAGAGCTGCAGATGAGTGGGTGCTATCTACCCGTCCCCACGGTATGCCATGAGAAGATGAACGTGGGGCCAGGCACTGTTGTCCTCACCTAGTCCTGGGCAAGATACCACCCAACAAGCGCTCTGTTCAGCTCCCAACTAGGGAATTTATGGGCAGAATAGTGGGAATGCTCTGGTTTTGGAAAAGAATGGCCCAGATCCCTCATTTCATACCTCACAGGCCAGAGGGAGGCCCTTGTACTTGCAGAACCGAGGCTGGATGAGATTTCGAGCATCTTTGCTGTTTCATTTGTCCACAGCCACACACCTGGGAGATCCTAGAGAGCTTTAAAGAATATGTTTTAGAAATGACTTTTTTGTTGTGTTCTCATGTAAGTGATACACGGTCATTCCAGCATCTAAAACCAGTTGCTACCCAAGTAGAGTAACTTAGGAAGTCACTATAGTTTGATGATATTGACTAATAATTATCTCTGATAGATGACTTGGCAAACATCTTCTGAAATTTTCAGCATTGGAAGGAGTCCTTTCAGCAGCTGAATGTTATTTATGGAATATTTCAGCTATGAAAGGAGGATCTTACGTGGGGTAACTGGGCCCACCAGTTGGAAATGTGGTTAATCTTGGCAAACGCTGCTAGTTATTCTTCATTATAACAGGTGGCAACTAAAGTGATAACTTTGTTATGGGCAAGACGAGTAATCAAGATTAATTAGACTAATTGACAATGTTTTCTTCTCCCATTCTTGGAGGTACTACACACACCTGACTATTTCTTTTTTTAAAATTTTTTAGGACAGATTTCTGCGTACACAAAGATGAACCTTGTGACACCGTTGGTAAGTTTAGAGTTAAAATAATAACTCTATACTCTGTGATAATGTGGACACTTGATAACACAGTCTGAAGGAGCCATCCTCAAACAAATTCTGCCTTTTCTGTTACCTCTCTTTTTGGTAAATTTGGTTTCTGATTTTATTTTACTCCTTTCCTAAAAAGTTTTGTAGTTGCTTATGGCAGAAGGCATCTAGACAAAGGGTTAGTAAGGAAGATATGAAAAGTTCAACCAAAGGAAGGAGCCCTCAGGCTGTCCTGAAGTGACTGTAGTTGGGTTGCATTTGTCTCTGAGCCTCTTGATCACCAGTGCAGGAGGGGGACCTCGCTGAATTACACGATTGTCATGAGACAGAAGCTTCACCAAGTGTCGTAAGAGGTGAAGTGGTGTCCTTCCACAGCCTTGGCACCGGGCTCATCGCTTTCTGGTCAAACAGAAGTGATGCTGACACGTAGTGCTGGCAAACACAGTTTCCCTCTCCCCCTGCCCTTCTACCTACACCTCCTCCCCCATCTTCCGCTTCACTTGCCATTTCCTTTCTCTCCTATCTTCAGTTATATCTGGCTTGCTCTTGAACTCTCATAGGTTTCAAATTGGAACCAGTCTTTGAGTGTAGGAATAGAGCACTTGGTTAACAGAAACCAAGAGGGTTTCCAATTTTGTCTGCTATAGCACAAACCTCTATTCACTAAGAGGTTGAAATATTGCACCACCAAAAGCAAGGTTTGGAATTGAATGTGCTTAGAATTGTAGGAAAATTGAAGGACAACAGTATAGGATTGAATATATATTATTGTGGAATTCAAACGTTAAAAACCTGTGCTTCCCATGGAGTACTGGCAGCGGGTAATCCCGGGCCTTCTCTCTGGCTCTGCCAGGTACAAGCTGGGTGATGTTCAGTAAATCTCCATAATCCATAAAATGGTCAGTTTGTACTAGGTGACTTACAAGGTCTTTCCAAATCTAGTAGAATGATAGCTAGCATTTATGTCACATTTTAGAGTTTCAAAATGATTTTTTATACTATACTTTGGCAATCCTCTAGACAAATCTGAGAACTAGGTGTTAAAAACCAAGTAACCAATCTGTGCTTTGTTATTTGGGGGCTGTCTCCATAACAGAATTACTAGGCAAATGCAATGTGAAGTAAGCTTTGATAGAGGGTTAGCTGATGCTTGAGTCTAGTTGGGGCTGTAGAGGACTGGTATATGTCCATCTCTGTCCACTGCCATGGCTGCCAAGGCCGGTGCTATCCAGAGGACTGGCTACTTCTTCCCAGTGTTCACAGCTCAGCTCTGACACCTCCACACTTCACCCAGGAGGGGCTTCTGCTCCCTGCCCCTCCTCTCCCTATGCTTGCCCCTGCGGAGACATGAATCCGTCGTACTGCCCTTGTCTGTACATCTTCCTTGGAAGACTGTGCTACACAGAGCAGAGTCCGGCTTTAACCCATGTGTCATATCCTTCAGCTCCTGGCACAGGGCTGGAGAGGCTGAGTCGCCACTGTTGATCCAATGAGGAAATAAATGAATGAATGCAGATGAAGGAACTACAGTATTTTTGAGTAATGTGCATCTAATGACCTGGTTTTCTTTCATGTGATTTAGAGCCAGCTTTAATTTTCTTTTGAATATGTAACTTTCATGTCTGCGCAGACAGCTAGCTCTCTCAAGCATCCTTCCCTCCTCTAAGCCATATCACCACACTACTTGTATTTGTCTGCTAGTGCGGCTATAACAAAATACCACAGACTGGGAGGCTTAAACAACAGAAATTTATTGTCTCACAGTTCTGGGGGCTGGTTCAAAATTAAAGTGTCAGCAGGGTTGATTCTTCTGAAGCCTTTCTCCTTGGCTTGTAGATGGCCATCTTCTCCCTGTGTCTTCACATGATCTTCCTTCTATGTGTGCCTGTGTCCTAATCTCCTCTTTTTATAAGGATACCACTTATATTGGATCAGAACCCCACTCTTATGATCTCATTTAATCTTAATTACCTCTTCAAAGTCCCCATCTCCAAATACATTCACACTACGGGTTATGGCTTCAACTTACGGTTTTTCGGGGAAAACAGTCACAAAACCTACATGGTGTTTTGTTAGTACACATTTGTCTTAATGTGTCATAATTTACTTGTACATATTATCAAGTCAGTAAGAATAATGGGTAATTTGATAAAAATAATTTAAAAACTGGGCTTATGGCAATCTTATAGCAGTTTCATCCAATTTATTTCTGTATGTTTTTACCTTTATATTTTGAAATAATTATAGAATTTCTTAAAGTTGTCAAAATAGTACAGAGAAGTCAGATACCGATCATCCAGCTTCTATGGTAACATGTAACTATAGTGGATTTCCGAAACCAGGAAATTGATTGGCACCATGCAGTCAACTAAACTACAGATCTTACTCAGGTTTCACTGGTTTTACATGCACTCATTTTTGGTTATATTTTTACCTATTGTTCCATGACATTTTATCACATGTGTGAATTTGTCCATCCACCTTAACAATCAGGAACAAAACTGGTCCATCCCCTCCAAGCAGCTCCCTCTGGCTGGCCTTATAGAATCACCCTCTCCTTCCCTCCCTTTCCCTAACCTTGGTTACTACTTATCTGTAATCCATCATTGTAATTTTGTCATTCCAGCATCCAATTTATTTTTATATTTTGTTTTGATTCCACAGAATGGAAAAATAATCTGAATCACATAAATATGTGGTTGCCAATGCTAAGAGATTTTGAACAGCTGCCTAAATCTCAGGATCCAACTCTAGCATGAAGGGCTGTGCCCTGAGTTTTTTAGAAAATGAGGTAATCTGGTACCTTGAGAAACTGGGAAAACTTGGGGGTTATCAACATCTTATGTTTGATATATAATAGTGTTTTTTGTTTGCTTTGTTGTTTTAATTAGAATAAAACAGATAGTAAAGAGTACAAATCTTGATGGATTTTAAAAATTTATGCCTATACTTGTTTTTTAGTTTATCTCTTATTTATTGAAATAGTTTTAAAGGAGTGTTTTGAATTCTGTTTTAATCTATTTTTTTTAATTGTGGTAAAATACATATAACATAAAATTTACCATCCTAATCATTTTTTTAGTGGACAGTTCAGTGGCATTAAGTACACCCACATTGTTGTGTAATCATATGCCTGTATTCTCAGACAACTACTCAGATTAAGATATGGAATATTCCCAGCCCCAAGAAGGTTCCCTCATGCCTCCTCCAAGTCCCCCAGAGATATGCCCCCACAGGTAACCTACTGTTGTAAATGTTTTAATCACTGTTTTTATAATAGTTTAATTTAAAAAAATAGTTTAAAGTAAATTTCAAAGTTAAATTTGAATGATTCTTTTTTTTTTTTTTTTTTTTTTTTTTCCGGTACGCGAGCCTCCCACTGCTGTGGCCTCTCCCGTTGCGGAGCACAGGCTCCGGAGCGCAGGCCCAGCAGCCATGGCTCACGGGCCCAGCCGCTCCGCGGCATGTGGGATCTTCCCGGACCGGGGCACGAACCCGTGTCCCCTGCATCGGCAGGCCGACTCTCAACCACTGCGCCACCAGGGAAGCCCCTTGAATGATTCATTTGAAGAATCTCTGAGGTAGTGTGTGGAGTTTGGGGTTCCATGAATAATATGGATACTTCTCCTCTACACTGCCCAGTCTGCATTAGCCCAGCTCATCAGACAGGATTCCTGACCGTGGAAACAAGCAAAAAGGGCATGGATCCGAAGGGGGACTGCCCCTGAGGCTGGAGGACCAGGTTGGAACACAGCTAGCGCCCGAGGGAGCCCTGGAGCAGGGGAAGGCTGCGGACCCCAGGCAGAGGTCTGCATCAGGGCTGAGAGGAATGGCGCCGTCTGCCCCACAGCCACCGTGTCACCGGCTCCCCGTTCTGAGTCTTGCTCTCAGTCACGTAGCTGCCTCTTTCTACCCCCACCTGCGTGGGGGTGAGGGTGGCTCTGGCCCTTTGGGCTTCCATAGGGAGGCAGCGGCACCTCCCACAATGAGTGCATGCAAGGTGGGTCTGTTGAGGGGGTGCTTTACAGAGGAAGGATGATGCTGGACAGCTCAGAATGACAATATCCACTACATCCCTGATCTTTTTGTAAAGATTGAAACCCGAGACGCCGACACATCCTCTGTGCACTTGACAGGGATCCTGCTGAGACAGGTGATGGGGCTTCCCTGGCCCTGATTCTAAGGTGGTCCTGACTCCTGTGGGAGCGAGGCCTCACCAAGCTCCTCCACACTGGCTGGTGGCTTGGCTGAGCAGACAAGTGGACACACTTTTAAAGATTCACACCAGACAGACCCTCCCTTCCTCTTGCCACTATGGAAAGGGAAGGGGTGACACTTAGAGGTCTTGCTCATCTCCACCTTGGGGGAAGACACAAGGAGAACTTACGGCAATTCTTAAGGCAGCAGGATCTGGGAAAACAGGCTTCTTCCCTAACAGAAGCAGCTGCCCTCTTACTGTGGTTCCCACTGTGCACATTTCAGACTTGCCTTTGCGGGCTGTGGGCTTTTCCTCTGTTGAATTGCTGCATCCTGTGTGATCTGCTTTCCTGCCACCATCCTAACAGGGAAGCTTCCTACGTGAGAAAAGGGTGCCCGACTTCCAGGATCGTGGAGGCTAGAGACCTCTGGAGGCTTTTGCTGGCCCTTTGCCCTCCTCCTCCCACACCCCGGGGCCTCTCTGAGGTGCCGGCCTGAGCAGCAATGTCTAACCACAGCCTGGCTGACCAGACACGTCTTAGTTACAGTCAGGGGGTGTGGTGCGTTCATCCTGCTCCTACCCTCGGCTGCAGGCTGAGCTATGGTGATTATTTTTTGACAGCCTAATTCAGGCTTTATGAATTTAGTTTTAATTATCGGGATTTATCGTTTTCCTTACTTGGTCTCATAATAGTTTTTAATTACTGGAAAAGCCTTCCTTTTCCTCCCCCAGGAGAGGGATGTGATGGTCCTACACAAAGGAAAATGGATATATTCCACAG